GCTAGGAAAGGACAACAAGGACAGAGAACATAGGGAGTTTTGATGCCAGGAGCAGCATCCTCACTTCTTTCTGTCTGAACCCTGGGACACTCACACCTTGGAGTAACCACGAAGGGCAAAACTGTGCATTACTGTTCAAGAGATATTGTGAGGAGAAATCAGTGTAAACCCAAACAGAAAACTGTCTACAGGGCTGATCCGGACCAGCAGGGGGTGCTCAGGATAAAGAGTGGGATTCCAAAGACCAGCAGGGACAAGGAGAAGGGGGCACTGGGATCCACTGAAAACCAGCAAAGGCCCCCGCAGGAGGTCCACAGAAGGCAACTGGGGAATGAGGGTCTTACTGTCAGTACTTTCCTCTCCGTCTCCTCACTGTATAAACTTAGGAGACCCTGCAGTACATCTACTGCTAGTCACTTGGGAGAAGCCAAACTCCAAGGTGTGTGAGTGTTTCGGTTGATGTTCAGTTAGAATACATATGTATTTATTTCTCATTTGTTTCTTCCCCTCGTTCATATACATTTACAGGGAAGGGTAATCCCAACTTGCATATACTAGAATGAAGACTGAATATTAAAAACTTATATGCTTTACAGTATCCATCATCATGATCATCACCATCATAAAAAATTGAGGTGATAATTTCATCACCAGGAGACGGGATGTCTAATGCAGGATAAACCTTCAGTTAAGGAATGGGTGGAAAACATGAAGACACAATGAGGAGAATTCACTCATAATTTTTCCTTTCCCTTCTTTCTTTTCCCCTACCTCTGCCACTTCCCCTACACCATTTAGACCTTTTCTTCCCACTTCACATTGTCATTTATACATTTTGATCCTTATTTACACTTTTAGTTTGGAGCAAAGGAAAAAATGGAAACAGTCTTTGTAAATAGGGAAGGGCAGGTTTGAAGGGAGGGCAGGGGAATAGGGAAAAAATAAGAACCAAGATACATTCTGTTCCCAGTGATGAATGTAACTGTATTGTGTATCTAAAATGTACCAAGAAGCTTAAGGAAAAAAGGAGAATTTACAGAAAACTACAGAATTTATGTGTACCTCTCCGTTGCTTCACATGACCATGGGAATGATTATTCCAGTATTTAACCAGGTGCCTATTTCTTTTAGTATGTATCCCACTTAGTCATCATTAAACTTATTTTATAGAAAATAAATATTTTATTAATTATTAAATATTAATAATTAAATTTAAATATTCAAATGGTGATAATAAAATGAGTTATATCAAAGTTGAATGTAGGCTTGAAGAGTCCTGGCTGTCTGTTTATTTAGGGAATCACTAGAATGTTAGTTATCTTCTCTCATTAGAGGAAGAGGTCTGTAGAACATCCCCAAGCATGCTAACTCTGTCTTAGAGTTGCTCACAGTGCAGGTAAGTACAGTGAGAAAGACAAAGGCCCAAGTACCGGAGATGTTCTTATCACGTTAGGTTAAATCTCACAGGTCTATTATACTTTTTGCTCTAAGTGTACATCTGCAAAACTTAGGAAATGACCAACCCCATTTATTACATACATGCATAACTATGAGAAAGGTAATAAAGTTGTTTCCATCACAGCTCATGCACATAGTAAGAAATCATATATTCCTTATTACAAATGTTACAAATATCTCCCAGAAAATTCTCATGTGCCCTGGACTCATCTCTAGCTGAGGCATCCACACCAGAGCTGTCTATATAGCAGGAGGCCATGCAAATAGGGCCTCCCTGTGCTGATAAAAAGAAGCCCAGTCCTGACCCTGCATCTCTGCAGAGGAGCCCAGCCCTGGATCCAGCTGCTCCAACTCGATGATGAGGACTAAACACAGACAGCTCACCATGGAGCTGGCACTGAGCTGGGTTTTCCTTGTTGCTGTTTTAAAAGGTGATTTATGCTGAACAAAAGATGCTGAGTGAGTGAGTGGACATGAGTGGGATAAACAGTGGACATGTGTGACAGTTTCCTGAGCAGGATGTCTCTGTGTTTGCAGGTGTCCAGGCTGAGGTGCAGCTGGTGGAGTCCGGGGGAGGCTTGGTGCAGCCGGGGGGGTCCCTGAAACTCTCCTGTGTGACTTCAGGATTCACCTTCAGTAACTACTGGATGCACTGGGTCCGTCAGGCTCCAGGAAAAGGGATGGAGTGGGTTGGGAGAATTAATGGGAATAGTGGAACTATAAACTACCCAGACTCTGTGAAGGGCCGATTCACCATCTCCAGAGACAACGCTAAGAACACGCTGTATCTGCAAATGAACAGCCTGAGAGCGGAGGACACGGCTGTGTATTACTGTACAACACACAGTGAGAGGGCATCCTTTCCAGTCCAAACACAAAACTCTCTGCAGGGGCGTTCAGGGCCAGCAGGGGCGCTAGAGATGCGGAGAGAACCACGAGTAGATTTAGAGGAAAGTAAAAGATTTTTTTCCTGTTCGGATCTAAAACTTCTTTTCTACATAATATTTATTTCTAGATATTCCTATTTCATATGTCTGTTTTTACTTCTCATGGCTCTCGTTAGTGACTTTTTTTAAAATAGGAGAACACATTCTCTACTGTGCAAAACACAAATTAACACTTGAGCTAAAAATGACCCAGCTGTGATCAAGACCAGATCCTAAGGAGTCTCAGGGAACCTGGTGAAAGTCTGGTAGGAATTTGGTATCCGCAGTGAGAAGCAGTCAGTCTGAGCCCAAACACAAACCTCACTTCTCTGTGATCAGGACCAGCAGGCCATGCTCAGTTAATCAGGGGACGCTCAGTCCCTCCAAAGGGAGCTGAGGACCACAGCAGAGCACTCAGCATGATCAGGATGCCCAGGAGCCGGACCTTCCAGGGGCTCAAAACAGGAGAGGGGGCACTGGGGCCCCGGGGAGACTTCACCTGTGTTCTCCTTGCTGTTCATCTCTGGTGAGTCATTTCTCTCCCTTACTTAAACAGAATAAAAATGGGCCCTCTACCTTTTTCATTGTGCCCTTGTCAGGCAAGGTAACATTTATATGTAACATGTTAAATGTCATTCTTTTTTTTTCTCTCATTGAGTTTATTGGTGCATTTTAGGTAACAGTACAGTTACATTCATTATTGGGATCTTTACATGACAGGTCTTGGTTCTCTTTTTTTCCCCCTTGTCCCTGCCCTTCTTTCACCCCCTCATCCCCTCCCCATTTACAAACATTTATTTCCATTTTTTTCATCTTCTCATTTTTTTTTCTTTTCCCTTATTATCTTTCCCCTACCCTTCCCATTTTCCCTACACCTTTAGCCC